GAAACCAAGAAGCCATTTCTGAAAAATTACTTCCAAGATCTCAAAAACATGCAAATGCAAAAAGATTTTTGCGTGTGTTTACATGAATAAAATGTTTTATTTTGTTATCATGTGCTGGTCCATATTTTTTCTTCAATCAAAATTTTGCACCATACTGTTATTTTGAAGCGATCACATCAGAGATGACGTTCTACACATGATGAGCCAAGCTGTCTGAGACATTGTAGTTACAAAATGAACACACTGCTGACTTGTTTTAATAGCATCTTTTTTTTAGTTCGATCTGAATGTGAGACAGCCAGCAGCTGACACTTTATTTCTGCATCTGTTTATGCACAGCTGTTTTCCATAGCAACAGAAAAATCTGCTTTGACTTCATCAGTACAATTTGCATTGGAAATGAAACAGAAAAATCCATTCATAGTGGCCTGAGCAATAAAATGGAGATTAATCTGAGAAAATATGATCTAATTTGCACTTCAGATCACTTGAAAATGTGACTCCCCGTGTTTTTAGTTTGCTGACGTTCTATAAACAACATGAAAATAATCAATCATAGCATACTTCTGCAAATACTCCTTTTTTCTAGATTAAAAAAATAATAACTATTCAAAAACCACTTTTTGCTTTGTCATTGTGTTTAATTCTGTACAAATGCATTTTGAACTGACCTGATTCTATTTTCATCTAAACTGCTACAAAAGAGAGAAAACCTGAATGGGTCTGAAGACCCTGGTTACTTCAGGAAAGAGCAAAAAAGAGACCAAGTTGTGGTGATTGTCAGTCAAACATCACAATATAAAGCAAATTGAAGCAACATTTATGTTTTCAGATGTAAAATGTTGCATTGAAAATGACATAAAGCGACAGTAAAATTGTGATGAGGTGAMAAAGACAAACAGAAAGGAGGACTGACCGTGTGCACAAGAGAAAAGAAGCTGCACAGTCTGTGCTGGCAGTGATAAAGGGTAATGAGTTATTGCATTCACAGGTACACAGTGCTCACATATATCACAGCTCTGTCAGCTCTGTCTGACTCGTGACTGAATATTTCAGTCTGATCTCACTCAAAATCTCAAATAGTGGATTGCGCGTGTGACTGTGTGTGTGTATTTATGGACATTAAACACAGTTTGCACTTGCTCTTTTGTTGGGCTCCATGAAGACTCATTAGTCTGGCCAAGTGAAGGGCAGAGAAACTGACTGATGAGCAAATAAGGTTGGGAGGAGATGGATGGAAAAAGATCCATCTGAGAAAGTGGGTCCTTTTTACATCATCGTCTCTGAACAAGGCTGGCAGCTCGTGCTAATGAATTGGACTGTCCCATGCTAATGAATTGAGTCTAAAGATGGGCGGAAGGAAATGAACAAAGTAGTGGGATGTCAAACTACATGAACGATGAAGTAACTCATAACAGGAGCTATATTACAGGGTCCTATTAGTCCTCCTGTCTCCACTGGCTGAAGGCGTAACGAGGTAGTCTCAGAAGACCAGACAATGCTGAGGACCACTGGGATAAAAGTCTGTTTTAAAAGAGTAAAGTATATTTTCATCTTAAACTGCGAGTCTCAATCTATCAATGCAGTAGACCAGGGGCACAGATGGGATTTCTGAACTGGTAAACAAAGCTTTCATCAAATCATTTCAACCCAAGTTATTCTTGTATAATTTATGTTTATATGTGGAGCTCAAGTTATGTTTGTAATGACCATTGGGTGAATAATTTGGACTAAATTAATTGTATAAATATTTGAAATCAAGGATGAACAACAATGAACACTGTTAAACAAACACCTTCCAAATCAACACTAGCTATACTTTCATATATTATGAAACTGTTATTTGTCTGGAATACCAGTCACCCACCAAAACTTCCCTCTAATATGTTTCATTTCAACACGTGTGAGTGTGAACTCAGGCTACATATACAGTAAATGAAACTCATACTTTAAATGACAAACTGTAATATTACAAGTTACTTTCTACTAGGAATGTTAACATTTTCAAATTATGATTTATTTTAACAACTTATTAATAAAACAATATTATACATAAGAATAAAGTTGTTCACCTTTATCTAGCCTAACATAGGTAAGACCAAATTGTGTTTATTAATGTCAGACTAGCTAGGCTACTTCACATTACAAATCAATTATCTTCCACATCCCATAATGTCAACAAGCAACAGGCGCAGGATTACCTACTTATATTGTTTTTTTTTATCCAAGTTTCCAAGTTGAAAATCTGATTCTGTCTTGGGTCTCAGAAATACCAACATTCTTATTCGTAGGACACACACTGGAGTCTCAATGGACACCACAACTTAAAATTGTCTAACAAACGGAACATTAATCATCAGTTTTAATCTGAGATTATTCTTGCCCTATGTAGTCAAAGTGGGTGGGGTGGATAAGAGTCACTATGAATCTGAGGGGGTCGTATCCCACCCGTCCCCAGTGTCATCTGTGCCCATGCAGTAGACATCTGACATGTCTTGTTCAACAATTATTTTGGTTTTATTTTTTATATTTTAGTAAAGATTTGAGATATTCCAGAGTTGTTTCCCCCAAAACCTCTTTGTTTAAAGGGGCTCTATTATGTGTTTCTTAGGCATATATTTAAATACTATACCATAATAAAGTATCTATGTCACCTTTAGCTGTCATTCAAATGCTGTTTTTATGTTTGAATAGAAAATAAACTTACCTTCTTGTAAGAAAAATACGTATTCAATAAACTGAAGTCGATATTAAAACCACCATTGTTAAATAAAATGATTTGTAGAAGGAATGAAACCATACAACACCAAAATTCTGGAACTGAGTGAGGTTTATTGCCACCGGAGCTGACAGGAAACGACACTGGCGAAAAACCAGGAAGTTCATCAATTTATACATGGTTCTTCAATGCCTGCATTCGCCCCCTGCTGACCTACGGTTGAATCACAGGCATTCAGACAAAATTCTCATCTAATGTTCTCATAACGGTTAATTATGTGTTGTTATATAATTCGGACATGTAACTGAACCTATTTCAATCAAAACATAATAGATTAAACATTATCAACATTATAAAAAGGAAAACCTAAAAATATAGTGTTGTGCTTTTAACATCAGTACTAACCTCTAATAACTATAAATTTCTTCACTGCCTTGACCTATTCCTAGTCTGTATCTCTTTGATAACTGCTACATTTGTATAATCTGTTCTCATGATTCTTAAGACGCCATTTGATGTCTAAGGACCTTCCTCTAATTTCGATATTGCTTGTATAACTTGTAATAGTATTATTGGTCATTCAATATTGCTGTACCATTTGCCATTCTTTTATTTGAAGTATATTAATGCATTTCCTGTCTGTTGCTAGTCAGATGCTACGTGGCCAGACTTGCTGATTCAGGTTTGGTTCACATCGCAGCTCATTCTCTTGCAATTGCAACCCTTTATTAAATCATTGACGGCCACCCACACAGTGCACTTT